TACTTACATTACGACCAAATGTTGTTCAGTGTGTGTGACTAATAAGCTTTGATTGACACCAACTATTGTATTGAATGCAGGAAAAGTATAAATATTTGCTCAGTTACGGGAGTTTTGACAGCTGGTGGCTGTGCGTACGCTTAGATATTTGTTATTTATCAAAATTGCTGATACATAAACACTTGACAAATGACCTTAAAGTCACTTGAAATTTATAAAAACAAAAGAGTTAAAAAATTAAATCAATAATATTTAATAAATACAAATAATCATATGCGATACGTTTTTCTATAATAATATAAACATCTAATAAATGTGACTTTTTCTTAACACGGGGGTAGGACAACAAATTCTTAGTTTAATCATAGAAAAATTTTTCACGTGATACAACAGCTCTCAATAGCCAGAAAAAATATGTTCCAAGAATTGTCCAAGATTATCGAGCAATTTTTTACCAATAATATAAAAAATTACCAAATATATGTTACATAGTCAACGAATAATATATTTAGTATGTATGTTTAAACGCGATATATATAGCAAAATAAATTTTACAATCAACATCTATCATTACCTATATTAACGAATAAATAAGAAATACGAGAATATAATGAAAAAAACTGCATCCTCATATTGAGGGACTTAGCGTTTCTCTGAACATAGCTTTGTTCGGATTACTAAATTTTGGGATACATTGTCGTCGACAAATATTAGCGTATTACAATATGCTAGAACTAAAATCGGAATGTAAAAATTAGGTATTTTCTGAAACAGTAAAGACATTAAAATGAAATTTTCCAAAAATATAGTTTTCGAGATGGACTTTCTTTTGAATGTATTTTGGGACCAATCCAGAACCCCTTCAAATTTAGTCGCAAAAATCTTGAACTTCTAAATTTTTAGGAATAACTTAGAAATTGTAATAGCAACAAAAATTTGGGATACAAAACACTTGTATTATATCACCTAAAGTCAGAATGTTTCGCGACATTCCGCCCACTGCAACATCCACCCCACATACCAACTTTTTAACAAAATATTTTCATTGTTTTCAAATAATTTTTTCACTTATATTAGACTATGTATGTATATTTGTTGCAAATATAAAAATACAACTTTATGCAAAAAGTAATACGTCTATTAATTTTTAAATTGTTCGCAATTTCATTCAATTTTTGATAAATTAAGTTTCTGCAATAATTGAGCCATCTTTATTACCTATATAACTCTGTAATTACAGATCGGTAAATGTTTTTTTCTGTTGTTTGAACCTTAGAATACAATTATTATATGTGAAAACATTTTATTAAACATTAAAATTTAGTACATGAAAATGTACAAAAAATCATCAGTTCCATATGCCATCTGCTATACCCAAAAAATGTATCCGATGTAAAAATGCATTTTTCTACTAATAGCAAATTTATTTATTAACGTATTTAATAATTGCACCTATTTCAGTTGCTAGAAATCACTGATTAATTATGCAGAATTTAGAATTTAACCTTCAATACACCACAAAATATATCATATATATAATTTCAGTCAGGGTATAGACACATGCTATAGTTTTTCATCATAAATTGTCCCATCTCTTCTGGTATAAGTTAATAATACTTTATTTTTATTTTTCTAATCTTTTCCACGAGTTTATATAATTTGCAAACCGATTCAATTACGAACGTGTGGTCCGGTTAGTAGCCCAAGTAGGAGTGTACGAACAGACTTTTGTTGAATTCAGAGCTACTGAAGCCAAACGGGACTTTTCTAGATAAACAAGATGTTGTCCCTTTTGGTAGCAATCATGCGTTCGAATAATATCGCATGATCACTCCGTTAATGAAACTAAGCACAGAGCCGGATTCGGAAGATGTTAACTTATATGCCCAAACTGCAAAATATCTGCTCAATTTTTTTTTATTGCGCACTAAAAACTGAGTTCACCCCAATGAGTTAAAAAGTTTCTTAACCCTATATACCCACTAGACTGAATCTATACCATCCTGTTATACCAATATATATTTATATTTTTTAATTTTTTTTTAAGTACATACTTATACAAATATTTATTGTATCTTTTCTTATATAAATTTAAATAAATATGTAAATTTTATATGCTCTCTGATGTTTGTATATTAGATGCATATCATGATGGATCATGCAACTATGCGATTAAAACTCTCTCGCAAGCAAGTTTTATTAATTTACATAGAGAAAACACATTCCATCATCATTTTCTTCCTAATTGGTTTATTCAGCATCGAATCTGTCACCTTTCTTTAGTCTTACTCCTGACTAGGTGTGATGTTTTCTTGTTGTGTCTTTACGGAACAGTCGAAATATCTTTCAGATATCCACAAAAATAAGAACTAGTTGCTAAGTAAGCACGGCAGCTATTGAACCCCTACTTTCCATCTGCAAAACAACAACAATAATATATTGCAATCGGTTCAAGAATTGGAGTTATATCATTATGTCCAACCGTAAAGTGAAAGTGAGGGAGATTGCTGACATTCTACAGATATCAGCAGGCAGTGTACACACCATAATACATGAACATTTGGGTACGAAAAAGGTGTTTTCCAAATGGGTGGTGCGTTTGCTCACACCGGAGCAAAAACAACAACGAATCGATGATTTCAAGAGCTGTTTGGACATGTAATAAGTCGGAGTTTTTGCGTCGGTACATCACGATGGATGAAACATGGATCCACCATTTCACTCCAGAGTCAAATCGGCAGTCTGCTGAGTGGCATGCAGCCGGTGAAAGCCGCCCAAAGACGCAGCAGTTGGCTGGCAAGGTTATGGCGTCTGTATTTTGGGATGCGCATGGAATAATATTCATCGACTATCTCCAGAAGGGGAAGACCATCAACAACGACTATTATATAGCGTTATTGGAGCGTTTGAAAGACGAAATCGCAAAGAAACGGCCTCATATGGCGAAGAAAACAGTTTTGTTCCACCAAGACAATGCACCGTGTCAGAAGTCGATGAAAACGATGACAAAATTGAACGAATTAAGCTACGAATTGCTGCCGCACCCACCGTATTCTCCAGATCTGGCCCCCAGCGACTACTGGCTCTTCGCAGACCTCAAAAAGATGCTCAAAAAGATGGTAAGAGATTTGGCTCAAATGATGAAGTAATCGACGAAACTAACGCCTATTTTGAAGGCAAAGAAAAATCGTTTTACAAAGGCGGTATCGAAAGATTGCAAAAGCGTTGGAATGATTGTATCTCCCTAAAAAGGGACTATGTTGATGAATAAAAACGAATTTTGGCAAAAAAATGTGTTTTAATTAGTTAGTCACACACATTATTGAACGAAGTGTTATATTTATTTATTTATATTTAATTATATATATTTATTTATAGATATTTATTATTAAATATTCATTTATTTATATATTTATTGCTAATGCATTTAAATTTTTTTCTTCATTACGGCATGATGTTATAACAAAATAATAATTAATAATAAAAATAATTTTAAAAAATGTGTCTACTTTTTGTTTAATTTAAATTATAAAATTTTATTTAAAAATAAAAAATCACAAAACAAAACAATTATTCTAAAATATATATTTTTATAATATTTTTAATTTTATTAAATTCTCATTTTTATTTATTATTTTTAATTTTATTCAACCATCTCTTATGTTTCTTCGTAAGAAGTAAACTACAATTATTGTTTTTGCTTAAAATTGTACTCAATCTGCTTTAGGTGTCGTTCCAAGGACTATAAAATATAATTCAATCACTGCTTGATCCTTAATAAACAATAATATAATGATCGTGTAAGCTATGTCTAAACATTAAATGTTACTAAACAATACACAGACTAATTCTTGATAACACCCAAAATTAATAGGCCTAAAATTAAAATAAAATTTTATTTTAAAAATAAAATCGCACCACCCACAATGTCTGTTGGGTGTGTAAATATCGATACTCATGCTTATTACAATAAAATCACATCTCTAAAAATTTACCAGCTGACCATAGTCACTCAAAAGTTTGTGAAAGCCGCAAAATGATAGAATTTAATCAAATAAACTAAATGTACACAATAATTTATTAAATACATAGAAAATTAAGTGATAAGCACTTCAACACCTCAGCGACAATAGATTGTCAGCAGGGGAGAGATATTAGAGAAATTCTTATCAAAAATGCAGTGTTAAAATGCTTGACACGGGCTCTCAATGATCAGTTGGTGAAAAGAAGTCATACGGAGCAGTTGTGTAAATTCAAGTTTCTCTTAAACCAAAGACAAGAAAATGAATTTCGGTGTTTTGGGCAGTGGCATAATTGGGCTTACGACAGCTTTGGAATTACAAAAACACTATCCTAATGCACAAGTATCCATCATAGCGGATAATTTTAATGAAGACACCACAAGTTATGTGGCTGCCGGCATATTTCGTCCGAGCACCAGTTTTATGGGGCCAACAGTCGACATAACACAGTGAGTATTTGACATAAACTGTGATTCTCTTAAGAGTTTTAATTAATTCTAATTGAATAGAAAATGGATTACAGATGCGTTCAACTACTGGGATGAAATACGTCGTTCAAAAGAAGCACCACTCGCTGGTGTTTGCCAACTATCCGGATACATTTTCTCCAGCATTTCACCAAAAATTACGCGTGTGAGTATATAAAGAAAATATTATTTTGATAGTAAATGATTTTTTTTTTAATCAGATAACGTTAATCACTGCTATTAAGCAGTAATCAAACTAGTTTTTTTTTTGCTTTATCGATTATACTTAATGTTTATTTGGAAAATAAAAGTAATAAACTAATTTTATAAACATTTTTAGAATCATTTCATAGAAAAACTATTACCAATTTATCGTCAAGCTACTGAGGAGGAATTAAAACTATGTCATGGTGATTGGAAATATGGTTCCTTCTTCACTACTTGTTTAACCGAAAGTCGTCTGTTTCTGCCATATGCCACTAAGAAGTAAGTACGGTTATTAATTTATTTCTACAATACTTATTAATAATATGTATTTCCTTTACTTGATACGAGTAGTTAGGTATTTGTATGAAGTATAGACTCTTTGTAATCTTTCAAGTTAGTTTTAGTTCAAACGTATGTACTTTTAATTACTAGTTACATGTTGTTGAATTTTAAATTAAATTAAACTTAAAGTACATTTTATATAGCCTTAATAGATTCGATATCATTAGTTAGTGGTGCGTCAAAGTGCTCGAGCATTACGATGTTCGTTCAGTTCAAGTTATTCTGATGGACTTGGAATGAAGCAGTTTACAAGTTTCGTACATCTTCTCGAGGATGCATTTCTGCACCTTATCAATTTCCTTATTGAACCAAATGCCCTCTGGGAAATTGTGCGGTAGTATACCGATCTTCTTAGAGCGAACAGTCTCTGCTAGAGTAGGCTTTGAACAGAAGTCTTCGGAAGAAACGCTCTGTTTAGCCTGCCCCACAGATACCGTTGCCACCTCATTACTGGGATCAGGTTTGCCCCGTGTAAGGTCTCTACTTCCTTCATCCTGCTGAAAATCGACAAACCAGTTGCAGGCACTTTTGTTTTGTTATCAACTTTTTTGCCCTGTAATGCAATCCGCTTTGTCGGTTTGGAGCTCGATGTTGGTGTAGAGCTGTCCGATCGGGATCGTTTTAGTATTGCCTATCCTTCGTTACTTGCGGTGGGCGGCTTTACTGCCAAGGACCTTGCTGTTTCCAGCAGAATGCCCTTGGCAAGTAAAGCCTTCAACCTTTTGCGTCCAGAGAGGAATAGCTTCACTCTTATTTGAGTCTTTTTGGTTGGACCAGGCTCAAGAAGATCTCTCTCCTGTTCCGAGGTAATGGACATTCCAGCCGACTTCTGGCTAAGTGGAATGTTCATCTCTTCCGGCCTGTCGGGTAGAGGACCAGGTGCCCCCTCCAACAAGTCGTGGTCTATTTGTTCACTAACGAAGGTACCATGTGCCCCCTCGGCCAGTGATGAGTTTTGGCTTTGTAAAGCCATATTTTGCACATTTAAAGGTGTGCAGTCCATAGAGTTTAGTGTATTTAAATCCATAAAAAAAGTAAGTTTTAATAAACCGTGAAGGACAAATTGAAACCGTAGGTTTGCCAGACCTGGTACGGAGTTCGCTATTAAGCTTGACTCCACCCCGTCAAGCAAGTTCACCAGCATAGCTGTTCCACTGTGAGTTTAGGGGGTTTGTTTGGGGCAATAGTTTTGTTCATACTCCAGGCTATCAAGACCTAGCCTTGGGAACCTGGAATATGAACAGACCCTGCCCTAGGGAGTTTTCCTTCTCCCCCGCCCGACTATTGGCGACCCACAAGATAGCCTCACTTTCCTAAAAGGACTGACCTTTTATTCACTGCAATATTCTTAATATGATTCTTAAGTATAAAAGTATTGTATTTCGGCCATCGTTGGACAGTATACAATTAAAAATCTTTGAGCTCCCTTTTTTTTACTGACATCTGTTCGCCTTTAAAACCATTTTAGGTTTTTATTAATCTAGGTTTACATTAATGGTCAGTTCAACATGAATTTTGGACGTGGTCAGTGCACTGACTACTTCCATCTTGTACCTTTTTTGGTGTTCCATTAGATTTGCAGCGTTTATGCCTAACAGCGTTTATGCCTATTATTACAATGCGCCATTATTTGAGCTGAAGTATGTTTTGTTGCACGAATGTGCCACTAACATTTCCATACATGCTTTTCATAATTCCAGATGTAGGCAGCAGATCAGCAGCAAAGTAACTAAATATTCATTCACTCTTTGTCGCTGTTAATGTCTTCATTTTCCAGTATTATATAGTTTTTATATATTTCGTTACTGCTCTTTGTAGATCCGTTACTGCTCTTTATAGATCATCGTTATGCCTTTAACTTTCATAGATGTTTTCGATTAACTACCTCATCACTAAGTAGATCAGAAATTGTGTAAACTAAAAATATATATAAAAAAAATTTTAGAAAAGCATAATTATATAAATGAAGAGATTATATTAATAATAAATTTTTTGTAAGATTTATAAAATGTTGATATATTCTAAAATTCGACATCATACATATTGATGAACTCTATAGCTTATTAAAAACATTAATATTAATATAATATTAGTTTAAAATATTAATATTAATAATAAAAAAAAGGGTTATTTTAATATTAATATTAAAAGAAGTCTATATTAATATTAATAGTAAAAAAATCTAATAACAATAAAAAAAATCTAATATTAATAAAAAATTTCCATTATAAAAGTAAATACATAATGGTTAATGGTTAATTTAAAAAATATTTTTGATATAATAAAATTTTGATTTCCCTAGCAAATAGTAAACAATATAGATTTCTTAGCAAACGCGTAAAAGTTCTAAAATTAATTGTCGAGTCCAAAGTTTTAACATAAAATAATAAAAATAAGAAAACGGGAAAAGATCGAAAATAATTTATGCAATTTATGGCATCATAAATGCATAAAAATGTGAGATTTCAATATCTAATCTTAATTATGACAATAAAATATTTATGAAATTTTGTGAATAATCACAGCAATAATTGGAAATTTAATTATTGTTTTTTTCCCTAGATTTCTAGAAGCTGGAGGTAAAGTAGTTCGCCAGCACGTACACTCATTTTCGGACTTGAATGAGAAATTTGATGTCGTTGTAAATTGTACTGGACTAGGTGCCAGAGAACTATGCAATGATCAGCAATTAGTTCCGATTCGTGGTCAAGTTTTCAAAGTGCGTGCACCTTGGATTAAAACAGCATTTTATGGAGATTATGACACATATATAATACCTGGTTTTGAAACTGTTACACTAGGCGGTTGTCGACAATTCGATAGCTACAACATGAACCTTTGCAAGTATGACTCAATGGCTATAAAAGAACGCTGCTACGAGATGCTACCCAGCCTGAAGCGTGCAGAAGTTGTTCGCGAATGTGTTGGCTTGCGTCCGCATCGCGCTATTGTGCGAGTTGAAGGTGAAAAAATTAAACGTACCGATGGTAGCATTCTTAAAGTTGTACACAATTATGGACATGGTGGTTATGGCGTTACCACAGCTCCTGGTACATCACAACATGCAGTGCAGATTGTGCGCGATATGCTAACGAGCAATAGTAAATTATAAAATATTTAATCAATATAATAATTTCATGTATATATTATACCTTTTATATTTTTTTAAACAATTTTATTAATCCCAAAGATATTTTAATCCAAATTATAGTATTTTTTATTATGTACATAAATTATTTAAAATTTTTTAAATAAACAATATGGGTAATTGTTGCATAAACCTGGTATTTTATTTTTTGGTTTGCTAATATAATATGCGTATTGGCGTTCTAAATTTCCGTAGCAGCAAAACAACATAAAAATAGGTTAAGGACTGGGAATAATAAAACTTTTCTTGCTTATTTCTTAATATAAACAAATTAATTTTTTGCGCTTCATACCCACGAAAAAAAATATGGATAACTTATCGATAGGTTTCAGTGTTGCATTTTAAACATCTACGAGATTGTAAAAACGTAACACTGTGTGTTATGATGTAGCAACTTAAAACGCTACGTTTTAGATAAAACTAGTTAATTTAATATATCAATCAATTTCATTTAGAATTTTTCATAACATATATTGCTTGACAAATATTTTGTCATAATATTACATTAATTATAAGTTTTTTATTCCTTACTAATTGTCTGAATTGCTTGTTAAACTAATCGCAACCAATTATAAATAAACGGAATTTGAAAAAATAAATAAAATATTTCAATTTTAATCTTTATAATCCTTTACAATATCATGAGATTATTAATAGGTTTTTAATAGTGCGTTTTCAATGTGAGATTAAAAGTATATAAAAGCAGCTTCCGATATTACTTTAATTTAGTTGTTAAATTGTAGAATTACCATACAAAAATGAAATCTCCGTTTGGTCGCAATGAATTTAAGGTCTCAAATGATTATTATGTAATAGCTTTTACGATATTAGAGGAATTTGAAATAAAATGTTAAACGCTGTACAATAGATACACATTAAACAATCAAATATTCTAGGGTAAGCATTATAATATTTTTGTACATACTTCCAATATTGTTTATATTGTACTATATTAATAGTACATAATTGTAATATTATTTATAAATAACGTATTATTTATAAAAAGTAACCGTTAGAGTAGGCATTTTTGAATACATATACTTTTTGTGTATTGGTTAACTAACTACAATATTGTAAACTACCGAACTACTGCTGTCAATGTGGTGATTATAATTGAAATAAGTTCTTGAAATAAATGAAGATGTAGTAATGTAAAATCGATGGAGTGAAGCACATACCAAAAGTGTGATAAAGTAGTCTTTTTAAAAATATTTTTCTATCCACAATTTGTTAATAATAATTAAAATTATATTATTTTTTTATTATTGTTATAAAATATTAATCATTTGTAAAGTTTATTTCATGAAATGCATGTCATGGCTAATAAAATACATTGTTCATAGGATAATAAATAAGCTTATTATTATGTTGAAGCTACTTGAGTGCACTTGAGCACTTTTATTAAAAATTTGTTATGAAAATTTTATTACTTTAAACTGAGCTTTTTAGTATTTTAAAAATTATTCAAAATTTACTTTATAATCAAAATAAAAAAAAAATGTCAAAATTATTCGCTATTGTACAGTGTACACGATATATAGTAAGAAACAGCTACTATTAATCTTGTTATATTAATTTTAGATTGTAGATGTGTTATTATAATGTTTTGCTGATATTTGGTGAATTCATTTATTTTAACTAGCTTTTTCTTATACATTTTACGTCAATATAGCCTACTTCTCAAGTTAACAGTTTATAATATATCAAATAAATAATTTAAATATAAAAAAACTGCATTTAAACCTGTAATTTTTAAACAATAACATATCAAAATTTATTATAAAGGAAATAAAAATGTTAAAATAATTAATAAATTTGTGTTACGATATTGTTAGCAAAGTGCGTAAGGTGCTTACGTTATATTTTTATAGGTTTCGTTTTACAACACTGACCAGAAGTCTACAATAAAATTTAGAGAATATTTTCATATCAGCTGTTGTGCTTTCTCTTTCACGCACAAAACTAAACGTCAATTTAGAATTATAAAGTTAAGAAAAGTGTAAGCCAAACGGCTGAAAATAAAATTTAATAGAAAACAAAATTGTGAAAATATTTCAGTATTGAAGGAAAAATTTTGAACATTCCCTACAACGAGTACCGTAAGCATGTCATCAATGTCACCAAGTGAGGTAAGTGAGAACATTCAGATCGGCGTATTGTAAAAAATCTGTGAAATTGATGTTTTTGTTGATGCGACAAAAACAAACATTTATTTTATATTTTTTACTTAAATAAGTTGGAATTTTATAAATATCTAAATTTCATATATTTCCATAGGACAATATAAAGAGCTTAAAGAAGTAGTAGAATTGTTTATTAATATATCGAATGATGCGTCAACTTCCAAGTTGCTGAGATTTCTGAAACATGAAACTATAAATTTAATTTCTGAGAAATGTGGGGTCTGTTTTTGCCATAACCATATGTGTATTACACAGTTGTTTCAGTTAGACTATTAATTTAAAAACAAAAAAACTGAACGTATGGTAGAATGAAGAAGAATTTTTTACGTGCTGCTTACATTAAGGCGCTGCCTTAAAGGAGTGGCTAACGAAAAGTCCATTAAACGAATGTGAATGCACTGTCACAAATGCTCCGCCTGGATCAACCTTAGCAAATAAGCTTAACGCTTTATGCAAATTAAAATCCTGAAGGAAATTCGTATTAACTCAACAATTAATCTCTTTTGTTGATTGCTAACTTCACATCGCATTTTTTCTTTGTCTGCTCATTTCAGTTTTAATGTTTATTTAAAGATAACAATCTACCATATTTATGTACTCGTAATATTATATATATATATAGTTTCAGTTATTTGATACTTTAATGCAATAATATTGTCTTTTATTTTTAGAATAACAAATCTGTTAAGTGTGCATAATCAATCCAATATGTTATATCACTTGTATAATCATATTAAAAATATGTTTATACAATAATGTGATAATACTAATAAGCATATTATTGTTGTATTTCACATTAGAAATGAATATTGACTTAATATTCATATTAGTTGCATTGGTTTTGATATACTTCTCATTATATTCTTGTTTAAAAACATTTTAATTAATTGAAATGATTGAGATAGGTACATCTGAATTGAATCAACTTTGGTTCTTGTTGTTAAGGCCCTGACAACAAGAAAACGAAAGGATTACAAACCATAAACTTAAATTTAAAGGAAAGAAATGTTGAATGAAACTTTGACGCAGAAGATAACGCTCGAGGAGTTTCTGTTGGGAGGAGTAACAGGCATTTTGTTTTCGGCCGAAGTAACCTTTACTTAAATATAGAA